CAGTTATGACCGGTAAAGAATGGGTCACTCACCACAGGGCGGGGACAGACAAAGTAGGGACGCCCTGGATTTTTGGTGGACCAGGAAATCTTAACAATACAGGGGCCATGTCCACAGGTACACATTCGACGTGGCCATGTACTGGAAGTTGCACTAGAGGTAAACGAAGCCATGCTATGTTTAACAAACATTCGAAAGTAACAATGAATCATAGCAGTAATTAGTTTATAATATCCACATTTCAGGTTAAACATGAACTGAATACACTGATGCACAAGTTTCATAGGATGGGCATGCGCAGTCATTATATGATTAATTGTATATTAAAGAAAAGCAAGTTATGGTTTCATTGTCAACGTGCATACTCAAATGCTAATTTCTAAACTCAAATTATGACAAATCCCCTCATTATATAAACTGGATATTTTCCTTCCTCACATTTTCACCCTCAATTCAAATTATGAGAAATCTCATGCACTAAAATTTTTTTTGACATTTCTGATAAATATGTCAATGAAAACAACAATCAATTACTTTCTGCAATATGCAGTCTCATGCTCCAATTGCAAGTTTACATTCATGAATCCATAGTATAATAATAGTGTAGTTGAAGTTCCATAGATTTTCTAATAACAATTTATAATAATAGTGTAATAAGAAGTGAAGCTGAATAACCCTAGAAAAACGTTTTCTCAGCTATATGAATGAAGCCAGAGATGAAGACAGATTTTTTGAAGACACATGGAGACATTCTCAGATTTCTGAAGAGAAAAGCAGAGGGCAAAATCAGATTTCAGATTATTATCAATACATAAATTTAGGTTTTAGGTTTCAGATTTTAGCAAAAAAAGTGATTAGGAATTCCACATTTTAGAAACAAATCCGAAATATTACAAATTCAGAATTCATATTTCAGAAAAATGAGATTTTATTCAGCAAAATCAATGAACACTTTGATATGAATTTTTTCATTTTTAATGAGAATTATAAGAAATCAAATGTGAATCCATTCTCAAATTTGTTTAAGACACATGAACAATTTACAAATCAATGAACAATTTACAAACTGAATTATAAGACACATGGAGACATTCTAGATTTATGAAGACAACACTGAAATTTGTTTCACATGGAGACATTCTTTTTCTAAATTTAGAGTTTCTTAATTTAATGATAACATTTCCCATAAATCTGAAAAATCCAAAAAAAAAAAGAAATGGAACAGACCATAAACAAAATCATGAAATTCAATTTGAAAAAAAGAAAAAATCATGACTAAAAAATGATAACATTTCCCATAAATCAAAGTGAACATCTGAATTTCCAGTCCATAAACAGGACAAATCCAAATGGTTTCAAAATCAAGAATGACAACATTTCCCATAAATCGACATATACGGGAGTGAAGAATGACGGGAGTGAAGAATGAAATAGGTCGACCCAATAAGTGGAACAGATCATGGATGGGGGGTAATTTCGGAGATCAATTTCAGTATAAATAAACAAAACACGTGTTGAACCAGTTTTTTTTTTGTAAGATCTAAACAATACAGTTCGGTTATCTCAGATGCCAAACAAAAAAATAACATCCACAGTCTGAAATTTCCGTTTGTACTCAAACACAGCAGATCGGGGTTGAAGGAGATAAAAACAACCGAAAACGAAAATAAAAAAAAAAACAGTGTACTTGAGGATTGGTTGTGCCAACGAGGCGATGGTTGCAGTATCGCCGCCGATGTGCAGTCCGGTGGACTTGGGCTATGGACAGAGTCACTTATTGTTCTTCTTCGCCGACGGTAGTCTTTGATTTTCGCCCTCCTTCTTCGAAACATAAAGCCCTAGGTGAGGAAAAGAACTTGTCTTGGTTTCGTGTTGCTTTACCTATTGGGAAGGGGGTAGTTTGGTAATTTAGACAGACCCTCAACCACACCACAGGCACGTGCCTTCTTTTTGGATGTTTGTGGCTACTTTAGCCTCTTTTGGACGTTTGTGGCTACTTTAGCCCAAACTTGTCTTGCCAAACACACGCTAAGTAGGTTATTTTTTATCTCTTCACCATCTTACAAATGTGAGTTAGTTGGTAGGACGAATCTTTCAGATTTGTATGAATTATACCCAGTATTAGGAGTGTGGGTTCGAATTTCCACTTGTATGTGAGTTTGTGACTTACCGTTGCATGGTTGAATAGTTCTATTATGTAACAATCCCTTAAGAGTGTGTTTGTTTGGACGGACTGGATAAGGGGGGATTGGAATCCATCAAACAGTTAGTCATGGGATACAATGTTCCCGGATTATATGGTTAGACTGAATTTGTATCTCATATTTGTTTAGTCATGTGATTAGATGTCAGAAAAGAACTATTTGGTTGGATAAGATATGAATCCAATGTTTGTTTGGAATATTATAGAGAATGATAAATGTTCAAATGACTATTTTACCCTTTTCAATTATTTACTAAGTAATAGCACTATTAAACATATCTTTAATATTTTAATTATTTTTAACTAGATTACATAAAAATTTATTTTATTTTATTTTTTACACAATTAAATAAATTTATTTTTAAAAAATTAAAAAAATAAAATATCAATAAAAATATATGTTATTTTTTTAATTAAAATTTTAAATAAATTTATTTTAAAAATAATAATAATTAAATAATGAAATTAAATAAAACATCTATTAAAATTTAAATAATGAAATTAAATAAAATATAAACAAAATTTTAAAAGAAAACATCAATAAAATATTTATAAAAAATTATTTTAAAAAATTAAATAAATAAAACATCAATAAAAATTAAATAAAATTATTTTATTTTTAAATTGAGACATTTAAATTTTATTGAATTTTACTAAATATAGTACATAATTAAATAAAAAGGGGTCAAAATGGTCATTACACCACCTAATCTCATATCCCCTTATCCCTCCATTTGTGTCCCACCCCCCATGGCACACAGTAGTCCAATGGATTTAGAACTAATAGTCCGGTGCAAAAATTTTGAATCAAATAACAAACTATTAGTCCAGATAGACTAATAGTCTAATCCCACCCCTCAATCCCTCAAAACAAACACCACCTAATAATGACCTTTGAGGTTTCGACTCCTTATAAGGTTTAACTCCTATTACCCCTATGTGTTGGGCCTTTTGAGTCAATATATATTACATGACTAATTTAAAATGTAAGATGTATAATATCATATACTACTCCAAAACTAATACATAATTAATCAAGTTATAGGGTCATCATTTTTTATCGAGATTGGTCCAAATGTTAAAGCAACACGAGATGGGAGAACCAAACTGATAGAAATAGTTAAAAAGTTACATTTTAGTTGTATAGGGTAGGGGTGAGTGTGGATCGATTGCGGCCACGAAACCTCTAATCTGCTATCCGTTTACCAGATTGGCGAATTGGAGAAAATCAATCTGCATTTGTCCGCCAATCAGGCAGATATGGATTGAGCGAATTGACAGATTAGTGGAAAGACGTGAATAGGTTTGGCGGTTTAAAATTTTATAAATTTTTAATATAATTCAACTTATGCACTTCTTATAAATAAATAAAAATATATTATAGCCAATGATTTAAAAAAGTATTACAATCATTAGATGTCTCATCCAAAAAAAAAAAGTTTGAAACTTTAGAATATTATAATCACTGAATGCCTCATCCACATATTACAAGCACAGCATGTCTCATCTACATAAAGTATTACAATTTGTGATTCTTAAAATATAAAAACAATTCAAACCACCAAAACCATGAACAGAGCAGTAGTAGAGATTGTATACCTCTGTATTATTACATCTATATCTGTTTTTTTCCAAAACAAAAACTATTATTTTTAGAGTTAGATTTAAAAACAAAAAAAAATATAGATAAATAATACATTTATTTTTTTTCAATTCAAAAAATATATTCAAGTTGAAAGCTCTTTTTCAATTGAATATATTTAACATAATATTTACACTCTTTTTTAATTGAAAATACAAATAGAATATCAATAAATTGAAAACACAAAATCTTATAAAATATTAGGAATACTTGTGATTTGGCGATTCGGTTACGGCCAAATGAACTTTAAATCCACCATCTGTCCAAAACTAGGCGGATTGAAAAAAAATCAATCGCAACCGTCCGCTCGTCATTACGCATCCGTCCAAAATACGACAGATCGATTCGGTTTGGACGGATCGGTATATCCACTGCTCACCCCTAATATAGTGGGAAAATACTTTTATTTTTTTGTGGAAGATCCTCTCTTGTCTAAAATCTAAATTGAAAGATTTTGTTTGAGTCTTTGGAATCCATCACAGATTCAAATTTAGTGATTTAAATAGTCTATTTTGTTAGATAATTTACGAGATTAAGAGTATCATTAACCAATTCTGCAAGTCCGCTAGTTGATTTATGATCCGTTGGGTGGTTTTTGTTTTTTTGTAATAATTAAGTTCATTGACAAGTCAATCTATTTTCAGTTGGATAGTTTTTGTTTTTTTTGTAATAATCTATTTTCAGTTGGATAGTTTTTGTTTTTTTTAATAATTAAGTTAATTAACACGGATGTTTAAGCTATTCTATGTTCGGATGGATGGTTTTAGCTCGAATGTTTAAATTTTAAATTTTATTTTTTGGTTGTGCTTTGTTCAATACCGATCTATTGTCGTCACAGACTAAAGCCACTGACTTGATATCATTATATTATCAGTAATGTTAAGTATTATGAAAAATTTTTTATGAAAATGATCATAAAAGATTTGTGATCTTTAAATTACGTTTAGAATTAAACATCATACACTAATTAAGATAATTTAAGAGTCAAAAATCTTTTATAATCATTTTTATAAAAAAAAATTTATAATCTCTAACATTTCTCTTATATTATAAAAAAAAATGATATTATTATATGATGATCAGTAATGCTACATGTCTCAAAACAATGACTGAATGAATGACCAAAGACCTACGTGGACTGCCGCCTTAAAAAAATGGGTCCCACGCTAAAGATAAGTTAGAGTTAGAGACCTCTAGTTGTCATCATGCGCTGTCTGTCTGTGTCTGTTTTCAGTATTTAGAGAGGAGGGTAACAAAAGAGAGGGACGCAAGCAAAGCAAAGGAATCTCACTCATTTTCTTTCATTCGGCCAATGTTTTGGGGCCTGTAGTATTACTGTTATATGGTTTTGGGGCTTGTAGCATTACTGTTATATGATAAGTTAGAGACCTCTAGTTGTCATCATGCGCTGTCTGTCTGTGTCTGTTTTCAGTATTTAGAGAGAGAAACAAAAGAGAGGGACGCAAGCAAAGCAAAGGAAAGAGTATAGTTGAGAGAGAGAGAGAGATGGCTGATCCAACTCCCCTAATTCTATCACGAACCGAGTCAGAAACTCCGAGTGGTATTAGGAGGGTAGAGGGTGATGAGAAATACATACCCCCCTCATCCTCCTCCTCCACCTTGGATGAGACTATCGAACAGTGTCTAGGAGATTTCGGGTGGGCTCAGTTCTTTCAGGCTGCCCTCGTATCAGTCGCGTGGGTCTTTGACGCACAACAAACCTTCGTCAGTGTGTTCACGGATGCCCAACCAGCATGGCACCTTACTACTACTACTGGTGGTGGTGACACGATGATGATGATCTGCCAACTTCCGAGGAATTCATGGGCTTGGGATATGCCCATCGACACCTCCATAATCTCAGAGTGGTCATTGGAGTGTGCCGGTTCGATAATGACAGGGCTGCCGGCGTCATCATTCTTCATGGGTTGCCTTGCCGGTGGATTCATCCTGGCCACACTTGCAGACTCCTCATCACTGGGTCGCAAGAACATGCTACTCCTATCCTGCCTCCTCATGTCACTTGCTGGCCTCTCCACAGTGTTCTTCTCCACCAACATCTGGATCTACTCAGCCCTCAGATTTGTTAGCGGCTTTGGCCGTTCCACCATTGGAACCTGCGCTCTCGTCTTATCCACGGAGCTCGTCGGGAAACGCTGGCGACCCCAGGTCGGTATTATTGGCTTCATTTGCTTCACCCTTGGCTTTCTATCCTTACCAGCCATCGCTTACTTCAATAGGGGCTCTTCATGGAGGTTACTGTATCTGTGGACATGTGTTCCGGCAATCTTCTACTGTGTCTTATTTCATTTCTTAGCCCTCGAGTCTCCCAGATGGCTCTTCCTCCGAGGACGTAAACAAGAATTCCTCGCCACGCTTAAGACTCTTGCAACCCCTGCAAAACGTAGTAGCATGACGACGTCCATTGATGATGATGATGATGATATTGAACAAGTTCAAGTAGTAGAAGAGGAATCATGCAAGGACAAGGACAAGGCCAAGGACAAGGACGACGTCGTGGTGGTGGTTGGCGGCGTCTACTTGTATTCGGCCATGAAGATGCTGCTGGAGAAAAGTTGGGCTTTGAAACGATTGTTGGCAGTTATGGTGATTGGTTTTGGGATCGGGATGGTGTACTATGGGATGCCGCTGGGGGTGGGAAGCTTGGCTTTGAATCTGTACCTGAGCACTACATTTAACGCCCTGTCAGAGCTGCCTGCGTCGCTGGTCACATTCTTACTAGTAGGGAGACTGAACAGGAAAGGCTCCCTATTAGGGTTCACCACGTTGAGCGGCATGTGTAGCGTGATGTGCTCGTTCTTGGTAGTGGTCATGAGGAGCAGCGATGATGATTATAATAATAATAATAATGGACAGGGACAGGGACAGGGACAGGGAGACAAGATGATGACGTCCTCGTGGTGTTGGTGGTGGAGGGGGTTTCAGATTGGGTTGGAGATGATATCATTCTTCAGTGCGTGCACTGCGTTTAACGTGCTGCTGATTTACACGATAGAGTTGTTTCCGACGTGCGTGAGAAACTCGGCCATGTCTATGGTGAGGCAGGCACTGGTTTTGGGTGGGGTGTTCAGCCCTGTTTTGGTCGCAGCTGGAAGGAATAATTCAGGATTGCTGTCATATGGGGTGTTTGGGGTGACGATTGGGTTATGCGGGTTATTCGTCACATTTCTGCCGGAGACAAGGGGCCACACCATTTGTGATACAATGGATGAAGAGGAGCCACAAACTTAAAAAAGAGAGAGAGCGCAAGAGCAAGAGCAAGAGCAAGAGCAAGAGCAAGCATCTACCAGCTGTCCTACTTCAAGCAATTGAGATTGTCTTTTGTCGTACGTGGTGATTTTTTCTTTTTTTCTTTTTTAAAAGAACCAAGGTCTCGTTAAGCAGGCCTGTCAATTATTAAAGCCAATAAATGTTAGGTAGATATATCTTTTATGAAAATTCTTCTTTTAATTAGTTTGTAATGTTTTGTTATATATTATGTAATCATCTTTAATTTAGTTTCATAAAATTTTATATATATGATATTTATTACAAGCATGTATCTACATTTTAAGTCCATTGTTTGTATTTTGTTAAATTATTAAAGTAGAGATTAAGGGTTGGTTTGGAATGTCCTAAAAAAGTGCACTTTTTGACTTATTGGTGGGTTTGGGTTGGGTTTGATGTGATGTGTTAGAGAGGTGATGTGATTTAAATAAGATGATGTGACTTAAATAAGATAATGACTTTTTGACTTTTTGGCTTTAAATCCTCGCACCTAATTATGTCCTCTCTCTCTCTCTCCCCTTACAGATCTGCTCCTCCTTTCCGCCCCCTGTTGCAATCCACCGACAACCGTCCCTTGCCCAGCCAGCATAAGCGAGAAAGTGTTTTGGTCCTTTGGAGAATGAAAATGACTTCTGGGCTAAAGAAAATCCCATTTTTACATAATTTTAATACAAAATTCTCCATTAGTAACAATTTTGTAATTTAAAGGCTTTTGAAACTTAAATGCAACGAGTTAATTTTAGTGGGATATTCGGCAAGCAATCGTTCCCAAATTAAAAATGAACACTTTTACGGAAAAATAAATAACAAAAAATAATAAAGAATACTACTGAATATTAAATGTAATAGTTAATAAAAGATGTATCATCTAAAGAAATATGCAAGTTTTGGCGATTAAAACAAGCAGACAAAAACATGAACAAAAGTAAGTGCTCTGTTGAATTTATTTTTTTCCCACTACTGACATTAGCATACATTTTTAGGGATGAAAGTGCAGAAAACAAAATAGAGCCAGCCACAAAGAAATAAAAATATATGTGTATATTATGCACAAGGGTACAAATGAGTATAAAAGTTTTGCACTGCCATAAATAGAGCTAATCCCACAAGCTAAGCATTATTGAAGTAAGAAAGAGGCTAAAAGGAAGGAATTGTTGTTTGTGTGACATTCATGAATACAACTTGATTGACACGCGCCCCCCGCCCCCCCAAAAAAAAAAAAAAAAAAAAAAAAATCCTCACTCCTCAAAAGACAGACAGGGCAAATACAGAATAAAATTTCAGTATTCAACAAAGGAAAAAGTAAGAATAGAATTATTCCTCAATGAACCAGCAGCAGCACTCGAAATTCCCTAATGACAACCACCTTCAATGATCAAAATTGTGAATCCACTTCCACTCCTGTCTGCAATCGACAGAAATGAGCCATACCAAAGCTTACTTGTAATGCTGTGAGACCTCCCACACCAGCTTATCCATAAACTGGCATTTCCTATCAAATCCCCAGCCTGGGTTGCTCTGCATTATATATATCATATTACAAACAAATTACAAAGTCTTCCCTGTGCAGAATTTCAAATCAAAGAGGAGTCATAAACATCAAGGGAGTTCTTTCAAATTTCTTTTACCCACTCATAATTCTTTTCAGATTCTTTTCTGTAGATTTATGCAAGTTGTTTTAATATTTTTAGCAAGATTTTTTTATATACATATATATAGCAATGAAAAAAATGAGGGAGATAAGCATATCAACAAAGAGGAAATTATCCAAACATAATACACTGACATCAACAAACATTCCCTATATACTTTCTTTAGTGTTTCATTGGTAACACTCCCAATTTTACACAGGAATCACTACGAAAATCAAATTTAGTAATACACGTCCCATTTACAAATTAGGGTAAACTACAAATACACCCTCTGAGGTTTGCTTAAAATGCGAATTGTCCCTTGTGGTTTGAAAAATTACAAATACCTCCATGTCGCAATTTTTTATTTAACAAAATTAATTAAAAAAAGTGAAATTTCTAACCGTTCACCTATACAATAATAAAATTATCTGAATTATTAATTGAAATAAAATTTTAACATTATTAAAAACTGTTAATTAACTTAATGATTTATTAATAAAAAGACCTATTTGTTATGAAATTAGAAATCTTAGGAGACATAATGTAGTTTCTAGAATCACAGGGGTAATTTATAATTTAAATAAACCTCAGGGAGTGTGCTTGTAATTTACCCTACAAATTAACATGGGTAGAAATCAGGGCAATCAGATGATTTAGCAAACATCGAAGAGGTATGTGCTAATGCAAGCCATATCTTTTTACCAAGGTTTACAGGTAATTTAGCAAATCACACAGCTTATTCTCTTGCTTCTACATTTCCTATTTTGTTTCCTTTCCTCTGTTAGATGAAATTATTTTGTATTCGGATACTTTCCCCAATATGTGTATATATATATATAAAACAATCTCTCACATAGAACCAATGGCACCCATCTTCGTGGTTGACCACAACAGGTACCACATATCTAGCAATGGTGCCACAAAACCCCCCACACCAGGAGTAAAGCTCAAAAAGCCACAGAATCAACAAAATATGTAGAGCCTGTCAAGTTTAGCACCATTATGTAAACCATAATGTAGAATTAACATAAAGCATTACAAAGAAGCCCCACCTGGAGAGAGAGAATAGCACGATCAGTAAAGCGCTTAACTGAAGCAGGTGCACCTTGAGGAAGAGTTTTTGCAACCCTTTCCAGCTCTTCCTGCTGTTTCTTAGCAGTTACTCTGTCCGGTCCACTGTAGTGATCCACAAGCTCTTTTATAACAGGGACTTTCTCCATTGTTTCTTTCACAACTTCCTTGAAAAGTTGAAAAGATAAAAGTTACAAGCAACAGGTGAATGACAACAGAATATTATATATTTAAAAAATTACTGCTACAGTCCCTATCCACAACAAAAAGCAATTTAATGCATTTATCTTTTCAAAGTGCACTAATTTTAATCTTTTTGCATTAGATGAGTATTGCATTGACCATATGATAATTTTTAGAAACATTAGTGAGTTTGCACATTTCTAGAGACAAGGGCTTGATAAACGCTTGAGCCTTCATGCGCACTTGATAAGCACTAGAGCACCCTAGTAGAATAACAATCGAGCCCATTTAAAAGTAATCAATCACCATTGTGCTGACATTGATTTTGCTATTGATATTTCCAGATTGGAGCACTCACTTAGGGCTCGCTTAGAGATCAAGCGATTGAGCCTATTTTTTATTGGTTTTTCTTCCAATGAGCAGTGCTCATGCAGAAATTGACCTAATCTGACTTGCTTTAGCTTTCTAATTGCTCTTTTCATATATAGGACCCTATGAAGCATGGACATGGACATGAGTCACCACAATTTTCAAAAAATGGGGACATAGACACAACAGGGGACATGGGAAATGAAGAAAAAAAAAAAAAAAAATTCAACATATTTTATTAATACATTTAAATAAATAAATCTAATATATAAATATAATACATATAAATATAAACAAATATGTAATATATCAATAAATACATATATAAGATATAAATATAATATAGATTATGTATATAGATCGTGACGTGAGAGAGAAAGCCAGACAGAGGGCTAGTGAGAGAGAGAGAGAGACAAGCTCGTCGATGGATCACGGGGTGAGAGAGACAAAACGAGCAAGCGAGAGGTGAGAGAGAGACACTGGATGGAGTTTGTTGATCGATCGCGACTGTAGATGAGAAGACGAGAGGCAAAGAGATTGACGAGAGGCGAGAAGACAGAAAAAGAGAGACGAAAGGCGAGAGGACCAGAGACGAGAGGCTTACCAGGATAGAGATCAACTGAGATGGAGCTTAATGAAGATGGAGATCGACTTCGGACTTCAATCGATGACCAGGTTCAATTTTCTCTTCCCTCTTTTTTTTCTTCTGATTTTAAAATTAGGTCTCTTCTCGTCCCTGCTGTGACCCACACTAAAAACACAAAAAATAAAAAATAAAAAAAAATAAGGGACACCGCAAATGGCTTGTCCCGTACTTGTCCGTGGCATGTCCCCGGTGTGTCCCTACGTCCAACACCACTACGGCACTGATTTTGCCATGTCTATGCTCATAGAAATGACCTAATATATTTTAAGGGCTTATGCCTCTGAGTTTGAGTAGCCCTATGAGTTCTTGAGAGAGTTTCAAGTGTTCTTCAACCTTTATATCCTTAGGAGGGTTTCATCTACTTCAGAGGTTGTAAGGAACCCTATGACGGCTTGTTCAGACAAGAGTGGCAATTTTTCTATTGGAGGGGTTCTTTTAGGAGGTCAAGATGAGGTAAAAGCTTGATAAGATGTTGCGGTTGATGTTGGTTAAAAGGAAGAGGATGTATTAGATTTACATAAAGTGTTGAAGTTGCTTCAGTAGGGTGACATTGGGTTTGTTAAAAGTACTCACATTCCTTGGAGGGAGGTTGAGATTATAAGAAGGTTGTGGTTAAGCTTAATTCTATCGTGGAAATGCAATCTGTGGCGTCTCCTTTGGCTGTGATTCCTCCTTGTGGAGTTGAGGTGGAGAGCCTTGACGATTCAAATGATAATCCATTTTGTAGGTTCCATCAGTGTTTGAGATAGGATCTAGTAAAGGAAGGATTTTGTTTCTAAGGGTTCACTTCAAACTGATGATAATGGGTCTTTAATTCTCGTAACAATTGATAAGAACACTGGTAAATTTAAGAAGTTTACCCTCACTAATGATAAAAGTGGTAACCTAACTCAAGTACAATTTTGAACTAATGGTTAGGAAGATGGTAGGAAGATCCATGATTGTACTTGTCTTGACAATGATAAATCAAGAGCTATACGGTTTAGATGAATAAGGGAAGGGAAAATCATCTGCTAGGAAGAACAAGAAATTTAAAAAGTTTTAATGTATAATTGATTACAATGGAAAGAAGGTAAGGGGAGCTTTGGTGGGGCAGCACGGAAAGGAGATCACGGATGGGTGTTTGGTAGGGGATAATAGAGTGGTGAAGCCTCCTAATGTGTTGAAACAGTCCCATTTTGGAGGGAAAATTTTACCGAAGAATCCTCTATTAGTGCTTTATTTAATCTTCATGAGAAGTAGTTCAAATCAGATGCATCCGGAGATTAAATATGTTGTTATTGGTAAAGCGGGTAGAGTCTAATGGAAATCAATGTCAGAAGCCGAGAGAGCTCTTTTTATGAAATTGCCACTTTATTGAAGTATTTTAATAGTAGGGAGAGGTTGCATGTTTGGTTCTATGAAGAGTTTTAGGATTACACCGAATCATGATTTTAACAACCACACCATCAATATGGAGTGGAGCATCAACCATAAGAATCCAAATCCAGCTATAATCAGGAAAAGTAATATTGAGCATAGCTGAAGAAAACCCTATGCCATCCCTAGAAACAGCATTTATAGAAATATGGGAGACATGTTGTGTACATCTTGCCCTTCCCCAACTTTACTTTAGTAGGAGTCTTGTGCACTAGGTCGTCCTATTTAGCTGGAGGAAATCTAGAATATTATTACCTCTTTGGAGCATCGAAAACCAAGACACCTTATAAATAACGAAGTGCTACTGAATGAGACCATATCTCCAAATAATCAAAATCCAGCTATAAATAATCAAAAAGAAAAAAAGGTGAAATGACTAAATTTTTGTGATGAAACAAGCATAAGCATATGTCTCCCAATGTTGCGACCTTAAAGTCAGGAGAGAAAATACAATCACATTATGTAGTTAATCAGCAAGCAAGAAAAAAATGACCTTGCATAACTCAAGGTTGCATGCAGAAAAAAAGGAAAAAGAAAAAAAATATCAAAAACAACTTAAAGTTTCTAAGTTATAAGATGTCAAAAGTCATTGCATGTGCCTCAACATAAAGACTAAAAATAATGACATGCTTTGATTATGGATTAAGGCAGCACTGACCCAACAAGTTCCATTACTATTGTAATAAAGGAGAATGAACACAGCAGTGGTGAACCAGTAACAAATTGTACAGAGGACGATAAAGAAAATACAGAAGAATGCAGCATCAAGTATTGAATCATGGTGATAAAGAAACTAAGTAACATTCCTTTTCTAGTCTGCAACTGTGGACATAATCTTGAGAGTTGAGAAAATTCTATAATGCAAGCTCTTCAAATCACATTTAAAACCGGTCAACGTCAACCATTTCTTTTTAGCATTCCTTGCTTTGTGATTGATCAGTCTAAGCCCAACATACATGTTTGATGAAGCTTATTGTAATCTAAAAGCTAATGATCAGAAAGCAGAGACTAAAAGCAACCCTCCCCCAACTTTCATATAATTAGCTTTTTTTAGCATATTTAAGTTATTTCTACCTAATAAGTTCTAAGCAAAAAACTGCACAAAACATTCTGACACAGACTCCTAGAATACAAAATAAAAAAAGAAAAAAGCTATAAGCAGCTCAGATAAGCCGCACCAAACAGACCCATGGAGGAAAATTGTGGCTAGTTTGTAATGCCAACCACATGGCATAGAAGATTTTCCATAACAGAGTAGTTTAAGTTGCAATGTTATCAGCTATTTAAAAGAAAAGAAAGCAGGACTACTTTGCTAATTAAAGATGCTTTTATTTACAAGACTATTAATGATGAAGAAAGGGGAGCAGAAGATGTGGTTATTGGGAATATTTCACATGGTCGCTTCTTTGGGCTTGTGCTTGGTCCAACAAAAAAGAACCCATGTCTTAGAAAATTTATTTCTAGATTTGTTAACATTGTGCGTAAGAGGTGTTTCTTTGTTTCAATGTCTCTTGGAATTGAGTGCAACCAAAAAGTTCAATGAGCCCAACCAATACAGTAATTAGGGTCCATAGTTTAAGCATAGACGTTAATACAGTTAAGTCTATAGATGCTAATCTTCACCAAAAAAATCTCTCCCAGAACACCGTTTCTTGTTGGAAAAACATGCCTAAAACAAAAGGTTGCCAATCATCTGTCCTTTACGAGCACAATTTCCTAGCTTAGTCAACCGACTATCACAAGAAAGGAGAGATTGATCAGGATGTAATGTATGTTATAGAGACAACACTAACTAGGTTATAAATACCAGTGGAAGAGTGAATTATCACCGACTATATATGATAGGCAAAATAAAATCAAACATACAGCACTGACTAGACTAAAACATAGGAGCAAGATGGTCAAAGAAACACTAACAGAGAAAATATCAAAAAAAAATTACCACGATTATGAGTTACAAAAACCTAAATACAGTTCAAGAAGGGTATTAGCATTACAAGATATTGTTCATTACACGTTCTAACACAGTAATTTTTTAAATAAAATAACGAAGAAGAAGAAGAAAGCAACCATTTAAAAACATGATTATGACCTATTGCCTTTTTCGAACCAGCAACTGTTAAGTTGTAAAAACCAATATTTAGTGCCTCAAAAGAAAAACAAAATCAGCATAAGAAATATGATAGGAGAATATAGGGTTTAGGCATACCTCCCACTCTTCTTGGCTCTGAATTCCCTCATAAGCCATTAGGAATGGCTTCATCTTCTCAAGTGCATCCCAAAGAGGAATGGGCGGCTTCTCATCAATATCTGGGTTTGTACCAAACTCCTCCATCAAGTACTCTGGTTCGCATTCAATCTTCAAAACCACAAAGTATATGAAGAAGTAAGATGTCAGATAACTATTAGCGAAAATTGCCTAGTCTGGTACTAATTAATAAAGAAATACAATATGGTTTACCATGAAATTAGTGTGGAGAGCATCCAAGTAGGCATCATCCATAGGAGAAGGCAACACACTACCGCTCATCTCTTCGAATCCTTCCACCAATTTATTCATATTCTTGGGCCCAATCCTCTTAGCCAATTTCTCACCATCAGCATTGTCACCAAGATAAAGGCCAGCTCCATAGTCATCGTCCGCATCTTGAACCCCACGGCCTCCTCTTCCTGCGCCTCTTCCTCTACCTCTCCAGCCCCTCCCTCGGCCACCACCGCCACGAGTGCCTCTCCCTCTAAAACTGCCTCTTCCCGTCCCACCGTCCTCTACTTTGTCTGCCACATCAACGCCGCCTCTCGACAATATCCCCACAGCCTTCTTCACAGCGTCCTCGCGGCTCAACTTTGGGGTTGCACTGCTCTTAGTGTTAGTGGATACTTGGCCTCTCCCTATAGCAGTATGACGGGACCTGAGGTGGCGATTTTCTTCCTTAGGCATGTCGTCGGGAAGCAATTGTTTAGCGAGGGGCTTTCCACGGCCGGCACTAGACAAGGCAGATAAAATACTGGAGGGGAGGTTGCTGTCTAGGGAATTTCCAATTTGGATTTTAGAGGGAGTGGTCAAATCAGTCGCGTCTTCTTTGCTAAAGAAAATGGGTCTCTTAAGCTCATGCTCAGATTGCGAAGGAGGGGCAGGGGCTCTGCCACGTCCAGTAGTAGTGTTGTTGTTACCACTACTACTAACAACGGAAGAGATGAAGGAAGAAAATGATGGAAGAATAGGGGTACCAGGGAGGGGTTTACCTCGGCCGTGACCCATCCCAGATGGGAAGCCTTTTGGATCATCGTCATCACCATCAACATCACCATCACCAGGGGCAGGCGGGGCGGGGTTGGTGGAGGCGGGAACGGTGAATTGGAAGTTGGAGGAGCCTCGTCCCCTACCTCTACCTCCACCTCCACCTTCACCGCCACCGCCACCGCCACCAGCAAAGGTGGAAAAAGCAGAGGAGGAGAAGGCGATCAAATTGTGTTTGGTGGCATTGCCGATGGTGGGACTTGAAATTCTTCCCAAGCTTCGTCCCATGGCAAGAAAAGAGTGTACGTATCTAAAAATCTAAATGGCTTCACCTTCACCTTCACCTTCACCTTTACCTTCACAGGGATTTCAAGCCTAGTTGAGAGTTTGCTTCAGCTTCAGATTCAGACATCTTCAATCCTTAAAAACTCTGGAGAACATAAAGCCATAATATACTAAGAAAGATAGAAGGCGTAAAATCACATAGAAGATGACAAATCATGTAAAATACTCTCAAAGTAAGAACGGGAAAAAGGTATTAGGATCATCTACTATGGATAAAATCATGTAAAACTCTCAATTTTCTAAACAAAATCATGAAGAATGATAAGCAGAATCTGCTCCCATAACATTCTATCTCTAAACACTCAAACAATTTCACAAGTGAAAAATTAATGACTTTAATAAAAGAGAAAATTCTAAAGCATTAATAAATACTTGAGGTATCTATCAAGCTTCCAGATTATCAAATAAAAAATAGAGAATTTTAGTAATCATGTACAGATTTAAGTGGTAAGAATAATTACCACAACTGACAGTTATGCTAAAATACTTGGTAGTCTCGACAATGTGCTAAGAGAGTGCAAGTGATCCTATCAAAAAATTGAGAAACTCAGCAATCTTTTGTGCATTCTTCTCTTGCCAAAGTAATCATTTTAAAAAGGACAGGCATGATAATAAAATAATAGCAGTCACATGTACAATATATCTAAAAGTTAATGAACAACTTCAAGCAAATCTTCGAACCAAATTCAGCCCATGAGAAGAGAGCCACTTCCACCAATTTATTTCTGTTTTGCAGCCCCAAAAACCAACAAAAACCAAAGAAGAAGACTTCCAAACATTTAAAAAAAAAAAAGAAATAGCAAGTCGAACTCGAGTTATTCAACTCAATTGGTTTACAATCCTTATTTAGCCACAACATTATATTTTTTTTTTTGAAGTGACACATTTTGCCAGCAATTTATGCATACATAACATTACCAAAATTTATACATGAATATGGCGGTGTTTGGGAACTTGGTTTTTGGTTTTTTTTTTTTTTTTTTTTTTTTTTTTTGATATTTTTCACTACAAGACAAATGTTTTACAAAACCAAAAAAAACAAATCCAAACAAAATATCACATCAAACCCCATAATCATTTCACTTTTTCTCTCACAAACATCACATCCAACCACAAAAAAACCCAACTATCTTCCCAAACACAAAAAAAAAAATTCTCCAATAATATCCTACAACCAAAAAAACCTACAAAAAAACTCACTTCCCAAACACCCACTATATACCTCAGTGAAAGAATTACACCTAGAATTATTATATAGAAAGTCTATGAACCCAAAAGCAGAGACAATAAACAGAACCAAAAAATTAGTGTCACTCACATGAAATCAATTGCAATCTTTCAATATATTTTCTCGATATTTTTCTGATTTTATATTTTAAACAGTAGAACTGCTCATTATCATAATCTTATAAACTTATTCCCCTAATAAAATGGGATCCATAAATCATTCAGAATCAAAGGGTAGTGTCTATGTTTACTTGTAAGTTGTATGAAAGACTTTTGAAGGGCAGTCTCAATCTTAGCTAATACAACATGCTCTTTTACACATGAATATGAACCCCCATAAAAGTGCACAACTTGCATAATATTAGAGAGAGAGAGAGAGAGAGAGAGTGTGTGTGTTTAGGAACTTCAAAAAAAACCCTCCAGCCAAATGGGCCCAAGTGTAATCATCTATTAGCACAAGTGCTTCTGCAAATTATAACAATTGTATTGTAAGTATTGAACTTTCATGAAACCACAAACCCAACTAGCAAAAGCAAATTAACCCAGAAATAGAGGTTTCAATTAAAGCTATTAACAAGTTTTGTGAACCGAAATGAACCCAAAAAACACAAGTTTCAAGAAATTTCTTGGCAAACCTTAACAATGAGAAGTGAATCAAAGTTATGGTGGATAAGAAAACAAGTTTCTTAGCCAAATAGATGAAAAGGGAAAGGAATAGAATAGATTCGGATGATATATATAACCAACTAATAACAAAATATACTGTTAGAGACAATCACACTATACATGTTAAAGAGATGAAACAATTAATGGAAAAGAATTGAAGAACAGGGGATAAAAAATTACCAACCTTTTCACATTTGGATCACAAAAAAGTGAAAACCCTAATAAGTAGAGAGAGAGAGAGAGAGGACTGTTATTTTTTAAGCTTATCTCTACAGATTACAGAGCTTCTTCATTATATACATACCACACTAAGTATTTGAAAGAGAATGAGAAAAAAGAAAATGAGAGAGAGAAACTCATCAGGCCGGAGAATCACCACGGTCAGCGCTACTGGAGGAGTGAGAGAGAGTGACATACAACAGAAGCGAAAGCCCTAACTGTATCAAAACACATGGAGAAATGGGGCTGGTACCCATCCCGATGGGGATTCAATGGCACCGGCCCGACCCTATAGGTGGAAAACAGGGAAACACATACCCTATAGGTGGAAATGGGGATTCAATGGCACCGGCCCGACCCTATAGGTGGAAAACGGGAAAACACATGCCCTATAGGTGAAAAACGAGGAACCACCCCGTTTTTCACCTATAGGGCCGGGCCGATGCCATTGAATCCCCATCGGGATGGGTACCGGCCCCATTTCTCCATGTGTTTTGATACAGCTAGGGCTTTCACTTCTGTTCTACGCCACTCTCACTCACTCATTCAGCAGCAATGACCATGGTGATTCTCCGGCCTGGTGAGTTTCTCTTTCTCTTTTTCTTTTTTCTCTCTCTCTCTCTTTCAAATACTTAGTGTGGAATGTATATAATGAAGAAGCTCTGTAATCTGTAGAGATAAGCTTAAAAAATAACAACCCTCTCTCTCTCTATTTATTAGGGTTTTCACTTTTTTGTGATCCAAATGTGAAAAGGTTGGTAATTTTTTATCCCCTGTTCTTCAATTCTTTTCCATTAATTGTTTCACCTCTATAACATGTGATTTATCTCTATATATATCAGTGTGATTATCTCTAACAGTATATTTTGTTAGTAGGTGGTTATATATATCATCTGAATCTATTCTATTCCTTTCCCTTTTCATCTATTTGGCTAAGAAACTTGTTTCCTTATCCACCATAACTTTGATTCACTTCTCACTGTTAAGGTTTGCCAAGAAATTTCTTGAAACTTGTGTTTTTTGGGTTCATTTCGGTTCACAAAACTTGTTATTAGCTTTAATTGAAACCTCTATTTCTAGGTTAATTTGCTTTTGCTAGTTGGGTTTGTGGTTTCATGAAAGATCAATACTTACAATACATTTGCTATAGTTTGCACAAGCACTTGTGCTAATAGATGATTACACTTGGGCCCATTTGGCTGGAGGGTTTGTTTTGAAGTTAAGAAGCACAGGTGCGGGTACGGATACGGGTACGGGTACGCCAATACGGCAAATTTTTTAAAAAGTAGGGTATGGGTATGGCTGGGGGTATGCCAATTTTTTTTTTTTTTAAATTTTAAATTTATAGCTAAACATCCAACATACAAATTAAATTCAATAACATAATTAAAAAGAGAAATTACAAAAAAAAAAAAGATGAAACATAAAAATAAAAAGAGTACAAAAATCTGGAAAAAAAAATGAAAAAAGAAAATTTGTTTCAGTTTTTTTGATAACATGTGAAATGCTGTGGGGGGCACCCTCCATATTTGTGTAATAAAAAATATGGACGTAATTCCCCTTTTTTTTTTTTATTATAAGTATATCAAAGAAAAGACATTATAAACAAAAACGTTTTATTACACTACACCCATCACACTACACCCATTAGCTTAATGAAATTTTAATATAACTCAGCACAAGTTGTTCACATTGATTCAAAAACCAATCTGTTCTGGTAAGTTTATTTAGCATGAAAGATTAGGAAACAACAACAAAATTAGTTTTTTCTATACAACACACATTAGCAATGGTAATTGAGTTTTAATTTCTTGCACAAAAATAAAAATAAAAATAATAATAATAAAACAAAATTTGTCCATGCAATGCAAGGGGGTTACCTATAGTTAAAATTATAAAAAAAAAAATTCTCTATCTTTTTCCTGCAAAAATTTCATCCTAATAAAATGTTTGCAAGAAAATATATTTTCTTTTCTTTCCTTTCCTTTCCTTTCCTTTCACATTCAAACAAATTTTCTTTCTAATCAAACAGAGCCTAAAACAAAGAAACAGCTTACAACCATAACAACAGAACAAACCTCTCATTTCAACAAACAGTCTAAAAAACCAACTGAATATACTAATATACGCATTCAAACACACACACACACACACAAAAAAAAACATATATATATATATATATATTGTATATTATACATATATACAAGGTGTATACAAATACAGAGGAATCAATGTAACTACACACAATGGATTGATCGACAAAGAGTACCTGACGAGAAGAGGAGTCGTCATTGGAGCGGAGGGGGTCGTTTGCTGCCAAGGAGGAGTACAAAAATCTGGTAAAAAAAAATGATATGTCTTCGTTCTTCGTTTGCTGCGAAGAAACAGAAAAAAAAAAATGAAAGAAGTGGAAGAATCGAAGAACAAAGAGATCGAAGATGGACAGAACAAAGAAAAGGAAGAAGAATCGAAGAAGAAGAGGAGGAAGAATCGAAGATGTACTTACCGGAATGTGATCTTTGAAGGAGAGAATCGATTTGCACCTTCGATTAAACCTCTTCAATAGCTTCGCAGGAAGGAGTTCTTCAGCTCCTGGAGTCTCTCTGTGTTTCAAGAAAAAGAGAGAGCCAATCGAATAGAGTAGAACCTAATTTTAATTTGTTTCATGTTTTGTTTATTACAAAAGTACTCCAAATTTATATAATTTTTTTAAATAGACCAAAAAATTGCTCTGGTACACTTTAATTTGTAAAAAGGAAAATGTCTCGTAACTCAAATTTTGTGGCTCAAAAGTGGCTCAAATGGCCAAATTTTTATGTTGTTCTGTACTCAAAACGATGTCGTTTTGGCCATTTGAGCCACTTTTGAGCCACAAAATTTGAGCTACGTAGCATTGTCGTTGTAAAAAATCTCGTTTTGTACCCTGAAGTACCCAAAACGTACCGTGGCGTACCCATCATTATAGTGATCGTATAAAACGTACCTGGTGCGTTTTTGGCGTACCCGGTACACATACAGCCGTACTGGTACGCGTACCCACACCCAGTAAGTACCCGATATTTGTACGACAATATTTTTGGAGTACCCGTGCTTCATATCTCTCTCTCTAATATTATGCAAGTTGTGCACTTCTATGGAGGGTTCATATTCATGTGCAAAAGAGCATGTTCTATCAGCTAAGATTGAGACTGCCATTCAAAAGTCTTTCATACAACTTACAAGTAAACATAGACACTACCCTTTAATTCTAAATAATTTATGGATCCCATTTTATTAGGGGAATAAGTTTATAAGATTATGATAATGAGAAGTTCTACTGTTTAAAAAATAAAATCAGAAAAATATCGAGAAAATATATTGAAATATTGTAATTGATTTCATGTGTGAGTGGCATACTAATTTTCTGGTTCTGTTTATTGTCTCTGCTTCTGGGTTCATAGACTTTCTATATGATAATTCTAGGTATAATTCTTTCATTGAGGTATATATTCATGTATAAACTCTGGTAATGTTATGCATGCATAAATTGCTGGCAAAATGTGTCACTTCAAAAAAAAAAAAAATATAATGTTGTGACTAAATAAGGATTGTAAACCAATTAAGTTGAATAACTTGAGTTCAACTTGCTATTCTTTTTTCTTTTTTTTAACAATGTTTAAAAGTCATCTTCTCTGGTTTTCGATGGTTTTGGGGGCTGCAAAACAAAAATAAATTGGTAGAAGTGGCTCTCTTCTCATGGGCTAAATTAGGTTCAAAGATTTGCTTGAAGTTGTTCATTAACTTTTAGATATATTGTACATGAGATTGCTATTATTTTATTATTATGCCTGTCCTTTTTAAAATGATTACTTTGGCATCTTTGGCAAAAGAAGAATGCACAAAAGATTGCTGAGTTTCTCAATTTTTTGACAGGATCACTTGCACTCTCTAAGCACATTGTCGAGAATACTAAGTATTTTAGCATAACTGTCAGTTGTGGAAATTATTCTTACCACTTAAATTTTTACATGGCATTTCAAAATCTTCTAAACCCAACTCCCTCCACAAATCTAAATGACAACTCATTAATGATAACCATCTCCGCAAGAAACCTTTTACAAGCATCAAAATTAAACGTTGTTGCTACAACCTCAACACCCTTTTCATTTTGTTTCGGTTTAAGATTTAATGTTTGTTGACCATCCTTATCCTTATTTGGATATTCTTTACAATTGAGTATATGACTCCTCAAATTGCTAGTCCCATGAAGTCTAGACTCAGCCAAATATTCTTTCTTGCAATATTTGTATACGGCTCTACGCTTCCCATCAGTCCCAAAAACCTTATCAAAATGATCCCAAACTGTGGATGGTGGGATTCTGGAGGTAAAAGATTCACTGCGGGAGATTCAATAGTATCCTCCATTCAAATTGTACTACAAATTCAATTCAGATTCAAAAAAAAAAAAAATAGATTCAATTTCATTCAGATTCAATTCAAATTAAAAAAAAAATCAGATTCAATTTCAATTCAAATTCAATATCACCCACTCAAAATAAGTAACAAAGTAAGTAATTAACAGAGTAACAAAATAGCGGAATAGCAAATTCAATTCAAATTCACAGATTCAAGTTCATTCAAATTTAATTCAGATTCAAAAAAAAAATTCAGATTCAATTTCAAAAAAAAAATTAGATTCAAATTACAAAGATTACAAGGATCAAATTAAACAGATTCAAATTCAAAAGTAAACAAATTACAAAGATTCAAATTAAACAAATTCAAAAGTAACAAGTAAGTAATTAAACAAAAACAAGAGAGTGAGACAAATCTAAACAGATTCAGATTACAAAGATCAAATTACGAAGATCATATTACAAAGATTAGATCAGATTAACCCACCCACCAGATTCAGATTACAAAGATCAAACTCCCCCAAAAAATTAAACAAAAACAAAAAACACAAACAAATCTAAACAGATTTAATTTCAAAAAATTCAAACAATTTCAGACAAGAGAGAGTAAAACAGATCTGGAAGGAAAAGAAACAGACAGAGAAAGAGAGAAAGAGAGACAGAGACAGAGATACAAATCACAGATCGGAAAGAGAGAACGAGATAGAAAGAATTACCTCGGAGTTGCCGAGGGAGAGAGTTGATTGCGAAGGTCGATCGTCGTGTGCGAGCTGCGCAAATGAAAAACGAGACAGAAATGAGAAGATCAAGGTTAATCGATACGAACTGTGTAGATGAAAAACGAAAGAGGGTAAGACAGATCTAATTGCCTAAAAAAAACACAAATCGGGGAGAGAGAACGAGACAGAGAGAGCGTTATTTCAGAGTTATCGGAGAGAGAGAATTGATTGCAAAGGTCGATTGTCATGTACGAGCTGCGTAGATGAAAAACGAGAGAGAGATGAGAAGATTAAGAGAGCTCTCTCTCAGTCTCAGTGAGTCAGTGAGATAAGAGAGTGAGATTAGGGTTTTGTTCTCAATTGGTTTTGTTTGGGTTAGGTGTGCGGGTAGAGTCGGGTAGGGCAGATTGTACAGATTAGATAACCTTATACCAGCCCTGCTAAAAACCCTATCCATTAGGCCATGTTTTTTGGCTGTCTTGGGAAGTAGGATTGGATTGTTAATGAAGTAAGTCTTGATGACTTATTTGGTAGTTTTATTATTGAGTGGGATTGTTCTCATACCACAATTAGTTTAGTTTAGTTTTTCCTCACAAGAAATGGGATTGAAAAATTAATTTATGAATTATACAATATTGGAGAACAACAAGCTCAAATCTTCAAATTTTTTCTTTTTTTGAGGAATGTGAAACTACTTTGCTGCTTTAACAATATAAAATGAATATTTTATAAAATAAAATTATATGTTTTTGAGGAAAAAAATAATTATATTGTTAAAAAAATAGTAAAAATTAAAAAATATTAATTTTACATATTAATACTATAATCCTATGATTACCACCACACTAATAATCTCCTTAATTAATTTTATTATATTCTTAATTCCCTTCTATCCTAATCAACTAAACAAATATGACCGTAGTATCTAATAATAGGTTTTGTTAAACTTTTAGAGCTCCAAGCTCCTTGTTATCATAATCTCTTTTTGGTTTACTTCGGCCAAGATTATTATGTTTTGTTTGTTCCTCACAATCACCGCATATGTTTTTTTAGGTGAAATTATATTAGTTTATTTTTATAAAAATAATGAGTGTATTTGATTTTAATTTTCTTAATTCATTTTTTTAAAAATTGAGTTTTTTTTTTCATTATTTTTTTGTTTTTAGTGAATATTTTTAGATGCACCTTACTTAAATATATTTAAAAGTAAATTATTTATAAAAAAAATATTTTTAAAAAATCAGTAAATATAATATAATACAAAAAACGTCTGAATTCTCGTATTTTTGATATGTTTTTTTATATTTAATGGATTTTTTAAATATTTTTTTCACAAATATTATACTTTTAAGTGTGTTTATGTTAAGTGTATCTAAAAATTAAAAAATTGCTTAGAATATTAAAAAAATTCAATAAAAACAAAAAAAAATATGAAAAATAAAAAATTTCAATTTTCTTAAAAGTGAATTCTAAAAATCCAAACCAAACAAACTGAATTGTATTTTAGTGAAAATTTTTATTAATATTAATAATTATAATTATAATTTTTTGAATGACTAGTAATTATTTTTTAGACAATACACTTGTTGTAATTTTTCTTTTTTTTTTTAATTCCCTTTTAACTTTAAAATTATATATTTAAATTATTTATTTATAAATTAAAATATATATATATATATATATATATATATGTAAATGCATTTAAAAGTAATGCAATTTTATAATTGGGTGGTCTAATTGTGTTGTTTTGCCGTTGAAGAGTGTTGGCTTTTTTGGTTTTCGAATGTTATTTTTGTAATTATGAGTGTGCCATCAAGGATCAATCAGTCCTTACAGAATGTTAATTGCTAACCAATTATCAGACGATTGTGTTTTAGTTCTTTCAGCCTCAATGAAGAGGATTTTTGCTGGTGGCTTTGTTTAGGAGAATTAAGCAAACAATGATTAAATGAAAAAAGTTGTAGCATTTCATTAAGTTAAAATGAAAGACTTACAATGATCCAATTCAGCCTCGTAGAGGTTTACAGCAACAATCTACTTGAAACTACTCCTATGAACGAAGTGCAATGCAGGAATTTTAAAGTATAGAAATGTAAAGAACAGAAAATGTAAAAACTGGAAAAGAAATAAAGTTGATAAACTAGTTTTATGGATCTGAGTTCGGGAGTTTTTTTGGGGCCTTCTCTGCTATTTATACTTCTCAAGGATAACCATCAAATTGCACTTCTTACCGTCAAATCGTTCCTCCATGATCGCTGATCATTTTTCCTTATAGTTAGCTCCACTATGCCAATACCTGCAGTTAGGCTTTCCTCCTGATTTTGAATTTAAATGTAAGTAACCGTTGAAGCCACATCACTTTGCATCTTTTTGTTGATCCAGTACTACGCAGATTTTATGAAAACCAATACTAACTGCCACGTGTACGATCACGATCGAAGGTTTGAATTGTCTTCTTGTATTACCCTTAACCTGCCACGAGTTGAACTGTGATTGGCCCGTACAAA